CAAACACACCCTTTCCCCCCTTTGCCCAGTCTGGGGTACCGTGTCTCAGGAAAAGAAATAGAAGTCCCTGGCTCAGGCAGCCCCCGGTTCTTCCCAGTAATCCGTCCTGGCTGGTAGGCCTCCCTCGGTTCCCGGCACCCTCAGCTGTGTCGCCGGGATCTCTGCTAAAGCCAGGTGGTGGTTCCCTCTTCTAAAGCTGCGGGGGTCCCCACTCTGGCAAAGCCGCATGGTCCTCCCTCTTCAGTGGCCGCAGCGCCTGGGTTTAAATCCCCGCGCCAGTCTTCCTCTGCAGCCCCATTTCCAACTCCTCCCACAATCGGCTACACCGGCCAGCACTCCCATATCCTTCCAGCTTTACTGGGCTGCCATCGTGGGTCTGGGCAGGCGTGGCCCCATGGCGTGGAGCCAGTCACCTCCAAGCTCCCACGCAGGCGCTGTGACTTGGAGCACCTGCCCCCCAGTTACATCTTGGTGGGGAAGTTACTTCCATCCCCCTGGCTCAGAGCAAGGCCACAGCTATTTAACATATCTGTGCAACCATTAAAGGTTATAGATATGTTAAATGACCACACCAGAGGGCAGCTGCAAAGCTGTTGCTATGCAAAACAGCTCTCAAGGGCCCTGCTCCCTGTGTCCCTTCCCCCAACCCACATCTGTGTGGGGTGGTGAGGACATCCTAATATTTCCTGGACACCTTGAGTTCAGGGCCCCATTCCAAATCCCTATTTAGGGACCCCCTCTTGGGTGCACCCTGTTACAGGGGGAGCGACCCAGCCCGGCCCCTTTCCCATGGTTCCGTCAGAGCTAAAGGAACTACCGGGACAACCGGGTTTCCACGCAGCGTGTGGCCAAACACTCAAAGCACCAGAGGCGTCCCGGCACTAAGGAAATCGTGGGGGGAAGCTGCTGGGGGACACCCCCTGAGGCCAGCCCCCCACTCATGGGGGGTGGGGGGCAGGCTCCCGATGACCCACTCCTGCTAAAGCGGGGAGGGTCAGTGCAAGGTCCCCGCTGTCTGGGGCCTCCCGGGCCAGCCCCTGGGAGGGAGGCCAGGCTGGGGGCGGGGGCCACGGGGAGCCGCACCACAGGCTCGGGCTGGGAGGCAGGCGGCACCAGGGTAACTGCAGTGGCTGCACCCGGCGCGTCTTGAGGAACCGGCTCGAAACAGGTCGGCTCTCCAGGCAGGCCGGTTTGGGTCAGGCTGCGACCCGGCCACCCGCCCGCCAGGCCGAGGTCACGCAAGAGGCCCCCAGCCAGGACTCAGCTGCAGTGGCCCCCACGCAAACTCCCGCCAGGCCACAGGAAGGGACATCCAGGTGGCTGGCCCACTGGCACTTCTGTCCAGAAACACGTTACGGACGGCCACCTCCCGATGGCGGGGACACCCTACGCGCAGGCGCACCGCCTGCCCAGAGAGCTGAGGCCTGCACGGAGCACAGGCGGGGTGCACTCGGGCTTGGGGACCAGGGCGTCCCTCGGACCAGGGCGTCCCTCGGCAGAGGCGCCCCACCAAACTCGCCCCACCCCTGCCCTGAGCCCAGGACAGGCTCCCTGAACCAGCCCCACCCCCACCCCCCGGCCCAGCACTGAACCCTGTGCACCGCCCCCTTCCACCCCCACCACCTGGCGCACAGTCCTCCGGTCTCCCCGCACCCCCACTTAGGGGGTCCTGGAGCCCCAGCAGCAGCGGAGCCCTGGGAGGTGCCCGGCAGCACCAGCCCTGCCCCCCTGCCCTGCCTCCCATGCTCCCCCACCCGCCCTGGCCCCCGCTGTCTTCTGCTGCCGCCCCTGCCGGGGACCCTCAGCCCCACTGGGGCTCCCCGTGCAGGGGCCCCTCGTGCCCAGGTGGCTGGCCCTCCCAAGGGTGCTGGGACAGGTGCTTCCGCAGCACATCCCAGAGAGCGTGGGCACCCAGCTCTCCACCCGCTGGGCGATGCCGCCCCTCCAGGACCCAGGGCCTCCCCGACGGGCCCCCTCCTCCCAGCGCCCCCTCCAGCCCCCACCTCCCTGCTGAGCACCAGCCCGAAGTCTACTTGTCACTTGTCCCCAGGCATTGCGTCTCAGTCCAAAGCTGGGCACCAGTCACAGAGAGTGGGTGGCTGTCGTGCCCCCTGGGGCTGAAGCTGGGCACCTCCATTTCCTGCCCCCCTTCTCGAACCCAGCACTGACCCCGGTTCTCCCAGCCTGCCCAGTGCTCTGCCCCCAGCTCCGGCTCCAGCCACTGCCACTGCGGGTCCTCCCTGTTCTCCCTGCCTCAGACACCTCTCCTCCCGCCCACCCTCCTTGTCGGGGAGAGGCACGTGACCCTTCCTTCCAACAGTCAAGGCAAGCCCGAAATCCCGCCAACGGGCTCAAGGGCCTGCAGACCCAGCGCCCAGACCCATCTGCAGCCCTCCGGGCTCAGGAACTTTCTGGAAAGCGACGCAGTGCTCTCTGCCCGACCCACATCTCTTCTCCTCTGGGCTCACCTCCCCTGCCCCTCCCTGCCACCCCCCACTCCGGGAGTGCAGAGTGCTGGGGGTGGGCCCGGGTCGGGGGGGGGGGGGAGTCCCGGACCGGGTCCTCCTCTCTGGCCCCTGGCTGGGGGGCGGGTTGGTCAGCAGGCCCACCAACTGCAGAGCTCCCGAGAGACCCCAGCACCGCATCCTGCCCCGGACGCCTGGCAGGGCCCCGGGGAGGCCCTGGCGGATGGTGCTGCCCGGGGGGAAGGGGCCTGTTCCCTGAACCACCTGGCTGGACCTGGCCCACCCAGCAGCACGCGCGCTCGGAAGTGAGTGACCAGATGGAGGCGCCGGGTGACCTTTGACTTGAGGCTACAAACACGTGCTCTTCCTCTTTCTTTGGGAAATGCGGCCACCCTGTCCGCTTACCCCCGGCCGCCTCCCACTCTGGAAGGGGCCCTTGCTGTCACTCTGCAGACAGCCACCAAACGGCGCCGGGTCGTGGCTGGGCTCCCTGCTGCGGGCGACCGGCCCAGGCTGGAAGGCTGGGCCCTGTGACCGGCTGTGGCCTCGGCCAAGTCACTGAGCTTCTCTGACCGCAGGCGTCTGGCTTCGCTGTCCAGGAGGGTGAGGGCCACACCCCCCACAGAGGGCCGCTAGGAGGGTCGCAGGCCATAACAGGTGTCACAAGCGTCCAGGACCCGCCACACACTCGTGCTGCAGCGTTACTGTGACGACCCTCGGTGGGGGGGAACTGTGCCACAAATGGAGCTGTGAGCCTGACCTAAGCGGAGGCCGCCAAAGGGCCCGGAGGCACAGGGCACGGCCTTGGAGAGGCGCTCCGGTCCCGGGGCCCTCAGAGAGGACGCCCGCCCCCCTGGACAGCCATGCAAGCCTCCAAGCTAACGGGGAGGTTGTGCACGCGACGTCACCACTGGGGACCACACACTCTGAGGCCACTTAGGGAAAGTGACCCGAGACGGGACTAGTATTCTAGATGGGGGCCTCTGGGGAAGTCTGCGGGGACGGTCACTTTGGGAACCAGCAGCCTTCGCAGACTGGGGGCCAAGACCCTCCAGAACCCCGGTGGCTCTGTGCAGCCTGCCCCACCTCCCTGGAGCTCCCGTCGTCCACACGGGGACACAGGGGGACCGGGAGTGTGGGTGGCAGAAGGGAGGAGTCTGTGGGCTGTGTCCTGGGAACCCGCATGGGGCCAGGAGACGCCCCAAGGTGAAGGGTCGGGTCAGGGAAGCCTGTCACTCATCCGGACCTCCCGGGTGGCGGGTCCGGCCCCAGGCCTCAGTGCAAAACAGGGAGCTTCTCACCAAGACTCGGGAAAGCTGGAGTTCTGAAGCCACAAAAAAGGAATGAAACACCACAGCAACGTGGTTCACGGTGAAACATGAACCAAGAGCCCGCTTCACTGGAGAGACGACAGGAACCGAGCTGCCTTTTCCACCCGGACGGCCTGTCCCTGGCCCGCGCCCCCTTAAGGCCTTTCTGTCCTCTTGCTGCTGGGACCCAGCCCAGCCTGCCTGCACCCCAATCGGCTGTGAACCCCAGCTGTGGGTGGGGACGGCGCTGGCATCCACGCACCCTGTGGGTGGCGTGCCGGGTGCCCTGACAGTGGGTGCTGGAGTGGCTCAGCAGCCTGTCACCTGGGTGCCTCCCTGGTCATCGAGCCTCCACCTGGAGGCCCAGGACACCCTCGGGGGCAGGGGGACCACAGGGGCCGAGGGTGTTGCACAGACTGAACTGGGGGCACTGGGGGCTGGGGCTGTCTCAGAGGAGCTGGCCTCTCACTTCCCCCAGCCAGGGGGACACACCCACGTGCAGCGTGTGTCCTGAGGGAAGGTTGCCTCGGACTGTCAGAATCCGCGGGTCCCGGGGAACCAGCCTGCGGACACCCGAGTCTACCCCAGGGACGCCAGGGACTCGGTGGGCAGGGCCGCCAGGGCTGCTCACCCAACCCTCCCGGCCAATAAAGGGGTCCTGACGCCCAAATGCGCGGTTTGCCCGCCGCGAAGAACGCCGTCATAAAATCCCGGTCCTTTCATGTGAGCCGCGTCCCCCCGGCTTCCGCGGCCCCATTTTCCTAAGTGCCAATCTCGGGCGCCCTCCGCCCACCCCCAGATGACACCCGGCCCCGCGGAAACCCAAACACTCCTCGGGCCCGGCCTGTCCCCGAAGTCCAGCCCGGGCAGCAAGGCGATGCCCGGCTGGGGACACGCAGGGCCATCTCAGGTGCAGGTGTGGGTCGCAAGAGGACACTGGCACAGCCCAAGGGAGGGCTGACCCGGGCAAGGGGTGGCCCCGCGGGGCTGGGGGCTGGGGGCTGCAAGGTGTCAGGAGCTCAGGCCCAGCCCGATGGGGTCCCGCGCTCTCCTCTCCGCCCAGTACGCTGGAGTCGCCCGGGAGCCTGGGGCCCCGCCGGGCAGGGAAGAACCTCCCTCAAAGCGGGGACTCGGACCCATCACGTCCGGAGTCGCCCCTATCTGACCCGGGGACCTGCCCCTCCGGCCGGGATCACCCCTCGAGCGTCCGGTCCCGTGCACTCACCCTGCTCCTCGGAGGAACCCGCCATCCTAAGAATCCCAGTCCCCCGAAGACGGCGTCTCCTTCCCAGAATCTGATGCAACCACCGGCCCGGAAGTCCCGCCCCACCCCCCCCCCCCCCCCCCCCCCCCCCCCCCCCGGCCCGCCCCACGCCTGCAAAGCGTACTAGTACGCATGGTCGCTAGGCAACCGCCGCCCCGCCCGCGGGGAGCTGGGAGTTGTAGTCTTTACTTGGCAGCGAGCGGCGCACAGGACTAACATTTCCAGGACCACGTTTGGTGCTGGGAAGAAGGGCAGCGCCGCGATGAGGCCTCGCACAGGGCCGGGAGGAGACCAGCCAAAGAGTCAGGGAGGACGCCCTGGAGCTGCAATTTCCTGGTCCGGACCAGTGACCAGTTCCAAGCAGGCTGAGAGGAAGGGACTGGGGTGGACGGGCCGTGTGTTCCAGGCAGAGTGGACTGTCCTGCGAGGGACCCCAGGAGAAGGCAAGATGCTGACCAATTCAGCGTGACCACGGGAACCACGCAGCAACGTCAACCAGAGTTTGGGACTTGAGGTGCGGGCTGGGGCTGGCAGTTCCCCTAAACAAATCAGGAATGGCAGAGACCCCCCCCAGGGTGGGGTAAGGGTGGGTGGTGGGGAGGATGGAGGCCAGATCTGTGCTCCCACCCACAGTCCAGCTGCTAGTGGAGGAGACTGGACTCGGGGTGGCCAGAAGGGAGCCAGAGTGGACAGAAGTTGAGTCAGTGACGGGCAGCAGCATGGAGGGAGGCGGGGCCTAGGGGGCCGGCACACAGGTCTGGGAGGGACAGGGGACCCTCACACCCTGGGGTGGGGGGACTCGGGAGGAAATACCTGTGGGGATGATGCCCAAGGGTGTGGACGGGACAGGCTGGCTGGAGTGGCGTGGACTTCGCTGAGGGACTGTGTGGGAGCTGAAGGTGTTCAGTCCCCACGGGAGTGCGGAGCCCCGGGTGGGCACCTCCAAGGACGGGTGCTGCTCGGGGTGAGTGGGGGGGGCAGGGCGGGCGCGTTCTCAGGGGAGCGCTGGACGGACGGTGCTGTCATTCCCAGGGACAGAGGCCCCGGGGACACCACAACCCGGACAAGAGGCCACTCCAGTCTCTGGTCCCCGATTCGGGGCCCTGCACCCACAAACCACACCCTCGGCTCCCCTGACTCTCTGTGCACCACGTCCCCTTCCCAGGACAACACACCCGAAGTTGTCCACCCAACAGGAATGAGAGGCAACACCATTTAGA